ACACACACACACACACACACACACACACACACACACACACACACACAGTGGGTCAAGACAGTCAAGTGTCTGATTATGGAGCTCCATCTGTGTCTCCTCCCAGTCTGGCCCTGCAGTGTGTAACCGTGTTTGTGTCTGTTGGAGCCATTTGCCGCCCTCATGGTGCGTTTTCCACGACTCTCACCTGAAACCCTCTTTACATACGCAGGTATAGCCGTTGACAGCGTCCACACACTCCGCTCCGTGTTGACACTTATTCTCCAGGCAGTCGTTATAGTCCTGCTCACAGTGTTGGCCCACATAGCCCGGTAAACACTCGCACCTGAAGTGACATGGAAATATGGATGGGATTACTGTGTGTGTGGGCAACGGGCTTTGCCTCACGATTACAGATGCTTTACTGTACAAAGAGTACGGTACAGTTCTATTCACAGCCTGTGTCTTTAGAAACAACACGTTTACCACTCACTGTTGGACCAAATTCCTTTTGGATAAGTTTAATTTTAAACATGTGAATGATTGAATGAATCATATACAGTTATAAAAACTCTTCTCTCGAGAAGAAAAAAGCAAAACAAATGTAGATTTCACTTGATTAGAGAATTAGCTAAATGGCTAAATTATTAAATGTGTAAAAACAGAGTGGTTATATAAAGTATACTTGAGTGGGCTGCAGTGCACGAATGCACATGTATAAATTGTAGTTAAAGTGTACTCCATGGCCCAATAAACATAATGATGTAACCTCAGCAAATATCGAAACTTTCCAAGATAGTTTTAGTTTAAGTTTGATGACGAAACATTTAAGAGTTCATTTCTATGGTTTACGAAAAGCTATGTTCAGCTGAAAGGTTCTAGAATACATCTAAAGGTTAAAACATCTACAAAGTTGGAGGCACACAAGAGACAACAGAAAAGTAATAAGTAGTAAGGGCAAAAATACTGGCGAGAGGATGCCGATGAGTTGCTACAAAGTACACAAATTTCAGCCAATATTATGCTAATATTAGTCCAAGGATTGCATGTATTTGTGTAAGAGTTATTTAACAAACCATTAACTAAACTACAGTGTAACTAAGTGTTGTGTCATCTGTTTCCCTCTATTCCCTGTATTTGTCTAATCAAGAGCTAATGTCCCGGGGCAGCGATGACCGCTCAGATTCTCCTTGTCTCACGAAATAGTCAGCTTTTTAACATTTTAAACCCCGCTTCTCCTGTCACTTTGTTGTCACTTTCTGTGATGTGACCTCTGACCCCTGTAAGTGCTGACCTCCTGCGACGCTGTCACTCACCTGTAAGTGCGGCCGACGTGGACACACTTTGAGTCGTGCTGACAGGGGTCGAAACCATGGAGACAAGGTTCAATCATCTCGTCACACAGGTCACCTGGTGACAAAGAGAGAAAGTAAATATTTATTACAGTAAAGGGAGAAGAGCGAGAGAAAGACTTGACATGGAGGAAGAAAAGAGATGGGGGGGGGAGAGGGCCAGTCTAACTGTTTCACATGTTCTCTCTGTCAGCTTCAAATGACAGTGGAAAAGAGAGAATAACAAGGGGTGGAAAGAGATTATTTATGTATGTGTCTATCTTGTTCAAGGCCTCAGATAATGTGCAGTGGAAGACTTCATGTATACAGACACAGGGAACAGCATTATCAGCTTTTTCTCAGAGCTGATGGAGAGGGGGGTTAATAGGCTGTGTAACAGCAGCTACTCTGCAGATGTACTCGCACACACACACACACACGCACACACACACACACACACACACTCAAAGAGTGAGTAAGGTTAACAGTGTGCGTGAAAGCAGTAGCTGCAATTGGTCATATGAAGGAAGAGGGGACTGAGAAAGGTCAAGCACATTTCCATCGTTCTCTGCCTGCTTTAATCTAATCCCGCCGCCTCGCTCCCGCCCTGTCTGTCTCCACCACTCTTTTCTCAGGTCACTTCTAGACGCACGGTGTCCTGAGCGACGGGACACTCCGGCGACTGCTGGGAAAGACATCTGAAATTCTTTATGCTTCAGCAAATGAAGACAAAGTGTAATTTTAAATCTACGGTCTGTGCCACCTGGGCACGCTATTTAACATTTTGGAGACTCGGTTAAAGATGTCAACATGAATTTATCAACGTGAAATTAGCTGTGATAGCTTAGTATGAGTATCATACACATATGAGACCATCGGTGACTGATGGCGATAAACATGCTGAGTGTGATTTAGCAGCTGGCCTTCTGTTTTTTTACTACTATGTGTAGTCTTTCTTGTCTTTCACACAAAAGTATCCAATTTGTAGCCTCCAAATTGTTATGAGAGTGATTAAATTATGTTCAAGTGCTAACCTGAACACATTTAAGTAAGTTTTGTCCCAATTTTATAAGCATATTAATTAATGTCGGAGGTAAAACACAACACGTTGCTGAAATATTCACCCTCATAGCTTTAAATAATATTGGCTATCATTTATTTTAAGGGCTAGTGGGTTTCCAGCATTGGAAAACTGAACCATAATATTTGAAATGGAGGGGCTATGGATGACTGGACTGTTTGGCCCTGAACAAATCTTCTGGCCAGACTATGTAATATGGATATTTATGGTCAAGAGGTGTATCAAGTAATTTTGCCCCATTTCAAGACCCTAACGTACTTTTCATTTTTGTCTCCAGAGAATGAACCCTAATGGTCCTTGGTGACCATTTATAATCTACAAGACAGAATGCAGCACATTCCTTCTCATGTCCAATTTTTTAAAACCGTGGCTTTCTCTTTTTGAATTGAAACTCCTCGGTTGTAGAAACTTTGTATCGGCGGTTTAAAAGGTCCTGTGACCTTAAATCTTGCTTTTTTCCCCCACTGGTGCAAATCTGACGTGACAGTCCTGGTTGCTGAGTTTGGAGAAAGCTGAGCGACTAGCGAAGGACTGTCCTCTTAATGTGACACCTGATGATTACGCCCCGGTTCACTGAGCTGAGCGGAGGTTCAGAGCCAAAGGAACCAGCTGTGTGTGTGTGTGTGTGTGTGACAGCTGTATGTGGTAAGGTGGCTGGCAATGTGAGAGGCTGCTCTATGCCAACAACGATAATGACATAGTGCGTGTGCGGGTGAGTGTGTGTATATATTGACTGAGATCCAGTGTCAAAGGGGACCAGCTGTGTGTGTATGTGTGTATTTAGAGGACACTGTCACAGATATAAAAACTTAACTTCCCAGTCAGCAGTTCAACTTGCTGCACCAACACAGTTCTCTCTCTCTCTCTGCCCTTTTTTACCCCTTTCCCTTGCTATGTTTATTTCCCCCTTTCCTTCTAGCAGCCCCCCTGCCCCCACCTCTCTTTCTTTCCTGTGTGATTGCTCTTAAACCTCCTGTAAGAGCAGTTTCAGGTCAGCCTGTCCTTTACTAACTTACCATCCAGTAAAGTGGAAAATATGATTTTTTTTGTGTGTTTGTGTGATTGTGTGTGTGCAGTAGTGGAGGGACTTGGTGGCTATCCCAGCCTCTCAGGGGGCAAAGACTGATGATTTCAGGACCATCTGAGAGTAGAAATAGATGTGTGTGTGAGTGTGTGTGTGTGTGTGTGTGTGTTTGTGTGTGTCTGTGTGTATGTGAGTATGTACCTGTGTAGTTGGGTGGACACACGCAAGTGTAGTTGTTGACTCCGTCGATGCAGGTGGAGTTGTTCTCGCAGTCATTGTCTTCACAGTCGTCTGGGTTCATCTCACAACGTTGGCCCTCGAAACCTGGCGGACACACACAGCTACACACACACACAAACACACACAATGTGCATTATAAGATGGGGACCGGGCCACTTCTGAGCACACACTCCTGCTGCACAACTTGAGATAAAATCAATCAGCCAGATCAATCAGCTGCTCAACCCCACTTCCCCTTAAATTCTTCAATAAGAGCTTTGAAGAAAACAATATAATCTGTATTCTAATGGGTTTTCTTCCTTCCTGTGCTGGTTCTTACACACCACTGGAGCCATGGCATATCTATATTTAGCGGTCCAACAAGAGACACTCTTTCATGCCTCATTTTATAGCAGAAATTAAATTTTAACATTGCTGTTCAAATGTTTAACTATTAATGCATCACACGAAACCTCTGTGTCTTCCTCTGCGCTAAGACTTAGAGAAAAGCAGTCAGCTCCTTTGAACACAGCCCTTTGATTCATGTCATCTCTGTCTTTGTTGTTGGGGGATGTTTCATTACTGAACACCAGAAGCCAAAGTTTCTCCAGCATCTAGAAAAAAAACCTCAAAACCAACCTACCCGGAGCTGAGAAAGAAACATGCTGATATAAACTACAGTAAACACATGGGCAACTATAAAATACTTATCAAAGCCTCCTCCTCCCCTCCATTCATCTTCCACCCCCCTCTCACTCTCTTTCTCCCCATATCTTTAGATGCATTTCACCCTCTCTTCTCTCGAGCCCTTGATCTCTCTCCCACCCTTCTTATCTCAGTCCGGTTAACTCCTTATGATAGAAGATCACACACCCTCAAAAACACACACTACAACCCCACCCCCCCCCCCCCCCCCCCCCCCCCTCACACACACACACACACAAATAGAAGCACTTAAAATACATTATCCTCTGTCCTTTCTGCTCCCATGCACCTGTTAAAACTTTTTATATTCTTTGATTGTTTTTGTTTCACTCTCAATCTGACTGTTCACATCTGACGCTGCTGCCTTTTTCTCACACTAACACTCATCTCACTCACTCTCTCTCTCTTCCCACACATGGAGGATAGTCATTGGTTACCCCACCACATCTGCCTGCTGCTTTCAGAAATCGACATTTAAAGCTGCGTTGAACAATTTTGCACCTCGGCGGGCCAGAAGGGGTCTAAATCAAATAACATGAGTTGTTATGGCTAACATATTAGCATCCCGTCGCCTTGTTACACATCCAGCAGACACAAAACATCATATTACTTGCCAAAATAAAGTCCAAAACCACTTTTCTTTTAGCTGTGGTCTGGTCTCCATCAGCCCCTGATAAAGAAAATACTATATCTATCTATAACTAGATATACTATAATCTAGTATATAAAAGCACACCTGTCTCAATCACAAACCTGCCAATAAGAGGCATGTACAAGTCGTAGTTGAGACATCATATTTTACCCTTGTAGCACAAATAAAATATTGGCTTTGGGAGTGGTTTGATTTCTGATTGGCTTAATTGGTAAAGTTGTTACATTAATCAGTGATCATTTGTCTGCATAGTCAGCTTCAACAGGAAAGGAATGAAGAAAGAAAAACAATAAAGGGAAGCAGAGGAATAATCAAATATTGCAAGGGTAAGAAAGAAAGAAAACAAAGACATTATGTTTCCCATGAGAAACAAATGATAAATAAATACAAATGAGAAGAAGTTTGCAAACACTGACAGTGTCAGAAAGCACTGTTCCACCAATCAAATCCCCGTCTTGACATTTCGAGGAAATAGGTTGACACATGGGCCCCCGCTAAGAGCAGAGGCTAATTGGACTTATTGAATGTTCCCAACTGATTGTATAACATGTTAAAATGTCAAAGGGTCTCCCTCTCTCTCGTTCTCTCTGTGTCTCAGAGGGCACGTTTCTACCTGTGTTGGTATTAACATTAGGAGAAGATCTGTAAAGGGTAAAGAGACCCATAATAGCATTACCAGGCAGGACGTTAAAGGCCAGACGCACATCAAAGCTTCACAAAGGACAAGGGAACAGACAAATCTGGTTAAGATATTTATGACAATTGTTTCAATCAAAGAGGCTGTTTGTCACGAGTCTGGACCTTTTTTTTGGAGAGACACTGATGACCTTGCCAGGGACACGGGTCCTCATGCATTGTACACACGAGTGTAAGAGTATATGCACAATTATAGTATTCATTTGCACAATTTACAGTATTTTAATATGTTTTGTTCAATTGAAGCAATTTCACCTCTAATGCTGCCTTCTTGGCCCTTCAAAGAGTTTTAAAGAGTGAACAATTTGATGTGGTTTGGTTAAGTTAAATGGCAAAAAGACTGTTGTGTTAAAAATGCACCAAATTAAAAATTCATACTATATCCAGTCTTTTTTTAATTCATCCCATTTCTAAAATTTTGATTACTTTTGGTTTGTGGTCCCCTTGGTTGAGTTTTATTTTGTCTCCTGGCACTATGTTCAAATTAAGCCGAAGTGTGAAAAGCAAGTTTGAGATCCTGTATCAGCTCGGCTCTCCACTCCCTCAACAGCTGCCACTGAGAGGAGCTTGACCCCCGGCGTCTCCAGTGGAGCTGCTCTGCAACCAGGAGTCAAACTGTGCTTGTGTTGGGCAGCTCCCAGGTGTGAATGTGTGAAACTGTATCAATGTGAAACAGGGGTTACTGGAAAGAAGCGAGCAAGTGTGGTACGCTTTCCTCGAATAAATATAGATGAATGAAGAGGCACATTATGGACTGTGGGGTTGTGCTTTTGTTGTACATAAGCTTAAAATCCTGAACAGCATTTTTTTATGGATGTTTTCAAATTGTTAACTGACGATTTTAAGGGGGGATTTATTTCCCTACAGTTTATAAAATGTATTTTCTAGGTAATTACATGTGCATTTATTCAGTCAGAATAGAGCAGTTTGATACTTCTGTGTTGTTTGCACTATAGATTGCATTATGAACTTGTGTGAAGGGGCAAAACTAGCAAAGTTAGCAATAGCAGTAGCAGTAATCTCTATAAATTGACTTTGCATGGTATAGAACGGAAACACAAAACACACTGGTGTGCCAATGCTTTTGTTTAAATAAAATGCTCACATCAACAGATTTCCCTTCTCCTTGTTCATTCTCAAATATTGACATTGAAACCATAGCTTAGAAATGAGTCTCCATCAAGCATATATTATATTATTATACCACAAAATAAATAACGCACAATAACGCATGTACATTATGGGAACAGAGAGCCGACAGATTAATGCAGAATCAGTTGAGAGACTCTGATGTGGAAACCGACAGAAGTTTAAAACATCCCTTTAAGCGAGTGAGGAGGTCAGAGAGGGCTCAAGGATTTAATGAGCAGCCCAAATGGGTGTTCCTCCTTCGAAAAGTCCCCTCTCTTCCTGTCTAACTCCCCCACTCCACTCCACTCCACTCCACGACACACACACACACACACACACACACACACACACACACACAGGCAGGAAAACACATCATAAGGAAGTAAGTTTTTATCTCAGATAATGCATTGTCCAGTGAAGACTGTCCACTCTAATCATGTTGTCTATATTTCTGGGGGCCGAGTAAAGTTTATTTTCACTTTAGATGAGAATATAGGGTGAATTTTTTAAAGCGTCTCCACTAATAGAGAGCGGCGGCAGGGTAGAAAGGGCAATAAGATTTGACCTGCAGCATAAATGGATTCCCGAAGGACTCCTTTGAAATCACTCTTCCTGTTTTATTCCTGTAAGTATCTTACATATATAAAAACTAAAATATGCGGTTTTGAAATACAATAAGAATCAGGCAGACACACAGGCATTAACACACTTACACACGCACGCATACACACACACCTACACACACGCGCAATCCTTTTCAGTGTTTAAAACTACCAGTTTTGTATAAGCCACATTAGTTAACAACAGATCTGTACCTGAAGTGGTCTTCACGGCCAGGCTGAATGTGGCAGGTTCCTCCATTCGTGCAGGGAAAACTAATACAGGCATTGATGGGTATTTCACAGTTTTGACCCTGGAGGAGAGGACAAGGCAAAAAGAAGTCAATAATTCAACATTGGATTTTTTTTCCTTCTAGAGATTATTTCACTATTCAAACAAGGACAGTTCTGAAAGTGTTCACTTCACTATATAATAAATAGATCATTACCCCTCTGGTTCACCCTCTCTGACGTTCGTCACCGTTTCCACAGACAAACAACAAAAAGCGAAGCTAATAAGCCACAAGCTGATGGTGGGAAAAAATCATGGTGATGCGGCGATAAAAGCACTCGCCTACCAGAGACAAGGGTTCAATTCCATGTGTTCATGAGGTGGGAAGCTGTTGAGGGATTATATTTTTGTGACTATAATGGGATAACTCCTGCCAGTTTGTTGTGACGTGGGCGGTGGATCTTGAGAACTTCCCTGTGCATTACAGTACATCTTCATATTAAAAGGAGTCAGACAGTTAGGTAATCCTATACATGTATACTGTATATGTATATATGTGTCTGGTAGGCCAGACAGTTGCTCTTTAGTTTTTGCCCTTGTAATAAAATACAAATGTTCTGCTTTGGGACCACAGACTTTATAATATTTTAGTTGTGGTGAAATAATATAGCCTGCAGAAAGATAGAGGGTTGAATTAATGTATTCTTATTGGTTAATCTAATCCTAAACAACTGCTCAACTTTCCCAATGAGCTTTCATTGTTGTTCTTTTTCTCTCTCCCTCTTACACATAATCCCAGTAATCAGTTTACACATGTGTACGTACTGTAAATGCATGACGCAGCCTACTGCCTTGATTCATTACTCTTCTCGCCTCACACCTGTTTTCTAAATAAACAGCTTTCACTAGGAACTGTATCACGTATCAGGGTTCTACACACACACACACACACTCTCTCTCTCTCTCCATATCGAGCCCTGTGGCTGTAGTTTTAATTTCAAACCACCAAACCTTTGGCCGCCAACACACCCACTTCCCCTGATCAAAGTGGAGAACAGGACGTTTATTCTTGCTTTCCTTCTACATCCATCTTAATTATTTCCTCTTCTCGTTTCTTTTAATTTACTGTTGATCTTTATTCACTCTCTCTTTCTAACTATCCCTCTCTGTCAGATGTTTTCTCTCTCACCCTTTAACCCTTTCCAATTTCTCTTTTCTTATAATTCCACCTCTGTCACTCTCTCCTCTAGTAGAAGTAGTTTCTCTCACTTCTCTCTCTCTCCCTCTTTTGTTCTCTGCTGCTCCTTCTTTGATTCCTCAAACACATTTTAATTAACGTTGTCCCAGTGGACACAGAAAGGAAAAAATACACTCAGTCATGCACATGCGCAGGCACATGCACGTACACCCAACAGTGTTTCCCAGTCTGTGACCTTGGCATGTGATGTTTTAATTAAAAGCGAGACTAAGGCTTTGTCCTCCTGTAAAAGCCCAAAGGTTATGAGGTGTGTGTGTGTACACATGAGACGATAAGTGTATCTTTAAACACACACACACAGGTTCGAACCCACTGATCTCTACACACACATGCAGACAATCTGGTAGGTAATCCACACACACATGCAGACACTCACATATATTATACACACACACACACACTCCTTAAATGTAAATCGCCCCCTCGCGAGTAGATTTGCATGTCTTTCCTAACGCAGGAGTCTTGACAATTATTACACTCTTCGTCTTTTGATCAGTCAATACCTCCCAGTGCAGCCAGCTGCAGTCATCATTCCTCTATTGATGAATAGGTAGATACATTATGCATGCAAGGCCGAAACTAAGCCTGATAATACTGCTAATACCACAGGCTTATGCAGCACGGCTATCCATCTCAGATACCTTTCAGTCATGCAGCCAAGTGTGAATCGGTCAGCAAAAGCAACACCTTTTGCTGCCGCCTGGATTCTACAATTCACAAGCTTCAGAACACAGAGGAGCCACCAAATAATGGTTATTTGTGTGACAGTGTAGGTAGCTGGTATTAGGGATCAGGAGAGAGAACATGGCACTAACGTCAAGGTTCAAGGATTGATTTGTTCTGCTTCCACACCTGCTGAACTATATTTACACTCTTGATGGGAAACGTCTCCAACATTTCATAGTGGATGGTAGAGGTGTTGAACTTAACAAACACGACTTACAACAGCAATAAATGAATACATGAGACAACATCAATTGACATGGGACCATAGCAGAGATTTAGTTTTAAATAAATATAGAAAACATATAGTTTGGTGCTCTGGAATTTCACTGTGGTATATTTCATAGTTAGTTAACTGCAGTGCTTTTGAGATGTAGAAAAACTGGCTTCTGTTGTAGACTGAGAACCAATAGCACGTCCCCTCCGGTTACCCCATTCCACGTAAAAAAGGGTCTCTTTCAAGTATCTCACCTTGAATCCATATGGACAGGTGCAGTGGTAGGATCCAGTCGTATCGGTGACACAGGTACCATTGTTTTGGCAGGGTGCTGCCAGGCAGGGGGCACACTTTGACATCAGGCTGATATCTACTGGACCTTAGACAGATAACAGAAGCAGATGAGATCAGAAAAAGGAAGGGGGTAAAGGAGGGATGAAGATAAGGAAAGTGTCAAAGACGGAGCAATACATATTCAGTTATATTGTGCTAAAAGGCTCTGCCACAGACTATATTTAATGGATGGTGTGCTAAGAAAAGGCCTTACAGGATAAGACAAGTAAGAGCTTAGGAGAGCAATACAAGTGATTTGTTTCCTCGAGGAAGAGGAGGAAGAGAGTATTTGATTTAGGGTGATGATATGAGTCCCTCTATACCTCAACAAGAGAGTGATCTCAGCACCTGAGTCACAGTCCACTTTGTACTTTCTTATGGAAAAAAACCTACACCAACAATTCTTCTAGCAGACATGTCTCTGTGTTACAGTTTATTTGTACATGCAGGGCCATGGCGGTCAAGATGTATTTTTCCCTCTGTTTAAAAAAAGTCCAGTTATAAATTCTCTTTCCCTCTGGTGTGAGAGCAGGGGAGCCCTGGGGCGGGTATGTTAGAGGTCTGCTGCTCCTGTAGTCTGTTCTGTAGCACTGAAATACAACTGAGGGGATGGAGTTTTTTGTCCTTCATGATTCATGGCTTGATTGTCGGAAAATTTAGTTTTCTCTTTTTTTTAGAAACATAACAACCGTACAATATGCTACCGTGTTTATATGTATTTATATGCTGTATTTACACAAACAGGTGAATCAATATGGCTTTAAAGCATTCCTCTCCTAATCTTAGCTGAAGTGCATTCAATATCTCAATAAACTTCACTTGTTTACAGAGAAACAATTTCATCAATGTGCTCAGAAAAAGTGGAAAAGCTACAAAGAAGTTCCTGACATAAACACCAGACGTTTAATTTCTTCCATACTGCTGGAGCCAATCCCAGCATGCATTGAGTGAGCATTGGGGTGGACCCTGGACAGCTCACTCTACTACACAGCTAACACTCATTTCGAGACCAATGAGCAGTTCACAGTTTGTGATTTTCACAATCTGCATGATTTTGGACTACGCCAATTCCTTCATGGTGTTAGGCAACTGTGCTAGACACTAGTCTGCTATGCACAGAGTCATGTAAATATCAAACCATTGGCAGCCCACCTAAAACACTGAAACTCACCCTGAGACTGGATTAAAGTCCTCTATTAGCCAGCAGACTGACTAAAGACAAAACCCAGACCAGTGGAAGGAAAGGAAATTACACAGATTTACTTTCAGTGGTCTGGATCTTCCACTGGAAGACTACAAGGTCAAGAATGAAATACTTCAACAATCTAAACAAGTGAAAGGGTCAAACTTCTTAAAAGTCAGGACTTTAAGGACTGTTGAAAGAGTCATAACACAGAAATGATTCACTCCCCGTGATTTTTCCACCTTTTTGTGCACTAATCTGATTGAATCCAGGAAAGAATCTGGTGCTAAAACAGGCATGTATGGACAAACAATAGGACATGCTGTAGCAGGTGTGGGTGGTAAAGAGGACACTCTTTACCTTTACACTGAAATCTGTTGAGTGGTGTGGTGAGCAGTAGCCTGTCGGCCATATCAGGAGGCCCAGTGCAACGAGCAATGCCTACAAAAACACACTCAAATCAACTTCACATATACGCAATATGAGATGCACATGACAGAAGACAACGTGTCATATTTTAATTACAGATATTCTAACAGCCTCTTATTGGTGTTTGTCAGTCTTACCAGGCTCTTTGAAGCCAGCCTTGACCCACTGAGAGAGCCAGCGCAGGTCACAGTTACAGAAGAGGGGGTTGGCACCGAGAGCCCTAGACACACACAATTAAAAGTGTAAACCACCGCGCTTGCATCCAAGACACTTATACACACAAACAGATACATGGGGCTGCACTTACAGGTGGGAGAGAGCGGTGAGGTGGTTGAAAGCTCCTTCTGGTATGGTTGAAAGGTCATTGCCATGGAGAGTGCTGGAGGAGAGAGAGAAAGAGGCGTACATGAATATTAAACACAAAAATGATCTTGTTACAAATTCAAGAGGTCACTTTTCACCTGTTGTTAACTTTAATTTGTGGTGGAGTAATTTGATTATGTATTCTTTATAATCACATTTTCTGCAGCAAAGAGAAGAATATGAATTTGACCTTTGACTTCAGCTCAGGGTGCTACTAGTTTATGTACTTACACTCATACTAATGCTGCCACTATTACTTCTACGGCTACTGTACTTATATTGACACAGCTGCTAGTATTAGCTGTCTGATCTTCAAATGGAGACGCTGCTTTTAAGGCTACCTCATAGATGACAGCACTCATGGTTCTCTTTCCAATGAATACCTAAACAAACATACTGCCTTATAGCCATCATATCAGAAGTAAGTGGAACCGACAGCCAAACTGCCTAATACCAGCTTTTCACCAAACTAATACACCAACCCGGACTAGCTGCATGCTAAATTATTTAAATTATATGTGGTTCCTCAGCTGCAGACACACCATCATCCCCTTCTATAATGGAAAATAAATAAAATATTTATGAAAGAATAACACAAAATAAACAGAAAGCTTATTTTCATCGCCGGGCAATAAAGCTTGTCCTGGTCTCTGAATGGAAAATAAACTGTCTCATATGGTCATCAGGCAGACTATGGCGCCTGTGTGTGTGTGTGTGTGTGTGTGTGTGTGTGTGTGAAAAAATCTTTGTGTCAAAGGGACAAACTGCAGGCTGTGATGTGTATCGGTGTGAGCATGTGCATTTCTGTTTTGTGCCTTTGGGTTTTGCTGCACGTGTTTGTGCGCGTAGATGTATGTGTGTTACAAACTTTCGTCTCCAAGGGCTCAGACTGCAGAGTGTGTGTGTGTGTGTGTGTGTGTGTCCTTTGTGTCTCGCCATTTGAGTGTGTTGCCTGCTGGATATAAGTTCACATTCCATTAGAGCGAAGGGCTGTAGCAGGGGACAGCTATCAAACCAACACTATTGGAAAAGTGTGTGTGTGTGTGTGTGTGTGTGTGTGTGAGATTTTCTTTTTATGTGCATAATTCAGTGTGTGCATGTTTGGGTCAGTGTGCTCGTGTATCCGCGCAACTTTATGTTTGTGTGCATCACGGTGTGTGTGTGTGTGTGTGTACATGTGCATCTATGTACACACAGCCCCCGCGTAAGGCTGGCCCAGAGGGGGTTGTGGGTAATGAGGAAGTGACAGTGATGGCTGCCTGGCAACCAGTTGCTATGCGGGGGCACGGAGGGATAAGTCCCCACGGCAACATCAACTAAAATGAAAGAAAGAAAGGAGGAAAGAAACAAAAAGTTCTGCAAGGTGAAAGCTCTCATAAGAGATACAGTCAATACACGGAGGGAAGGCCAGAAAAAAGCTGACCTCTTAGAAACAATTTACATTCATTTATAATAACAATGGTGGCCAAAGTTCGGGAAAGAAATGTCGACAGAGAATACCAAAAATGTCATCTTCGTTGAAAATCTTAGATTTAACGTATTCGTATTGATTGTGAAATTCTACGAACAGATCTTTACTTTTTTAATTTTGAGCCAATAATACTACAAACTAGAAAGTTACGATTATCAGCCTCAACATTTTGCACCATCTCTGCCATACGAAACATCAGGGATGATGGAAAATGTCTTACTTTTGAGAGCCTCTAGCTTAAAAACAACAAGGTTGTGGTTCAATAGTATACAGGCAAAATAATGAAATCGCTCTTTTTCAAACCCTCTTGCGTTGTTGGAGACCACTTCATTGTATAAAAATGAATCTTGCAAAAGACATGCTGCTGTTGATTTTTTCATCAAAAGAGAAATTTCATTCACCTCCATCATATTAGAGTGGAGGTGCAAATGTCGAAGGCGGATAGGCAGAACGCATACTTTTTCTTGTCATTAAGCTGAACTGACATTTTAAGAGATGCTAAATGATCTTAAAGAGCAATTTAACACCCGCTGACAATTGTGTGTGTTCTGATCTGCAGGGATTTAAGTTGTCACCTTGCTGCAGTGATGTACAGGTGTACTGTTACCTTGCAAATTAAAATGCTATTTGGCAGTAACTCTGCTGTCATTGCAGTACTGAAAGTGTGTGTACCAAGCTCGTACGTGTGTGAGAAGATGGTCAGACAGAAATGTTCACATTGTGCGTGTGTGCGTGCGAGTTTGCGAGACAGAGGGTGGACAACCAGATGGATGACTGAGAGAAACTGAGGCTGAAGGTCGATCCATCAAATACAACATTGGGCGGAAAGAGAGAGAGGGGGGGGGCACAAGGGGAGAGAGAGGCCAGAGCATGCAGATAGAGAGGGAGTATTAAAGAGGAGGTGAGAGATTGTCACTTTTATCTTTTTTAGTACCCTGAAACAACAAATGATTGGGTGGCTTTGTGACGGGGTCTTGACATGGCACTTGGCCTGGAACCAGGGGAGTGATTAAACTTTGATTTAGCTCAGCACTATAACTAGCAAAGGGGAGTGTTGAATATTGAATCCACTGCGGCACTTGAAGATGAAGCTTGCTACTCACAGCAGGCGAAGTGACTTGAGCCCGTCGAAGGCTTGGACCGGGATGCAGCGAATCTGGTTATAACTCAGGATGCTGGAAGACAGAGGACATGAACACGGTCACGACACGCACTCTGTGACTCAGGATGCTGCTTTACACAATGTTGTCTTCTTGTATGTGCAAATTATGTCATCTTAGTCTTTCAGACTACATCGTTGATTACATGAAAATAATCTAGGGATACAGAAGAGGGAAGGCAGGAGAGATGACACAGCAGATTTGGTCTTAACACGGAACCTGTAGCCACTGTAGGTTAGACAAAGGGAAATAAACATGAAGGTCACATTTCCAATGAAGTAGTGGGAAGAGTAAAAAAAACACGGTCAGAGGCAAAGATGAGGCTCCCACACCACAGGATTTCCTTTTCTCTCTCTTTTCAAACTACTAATGAGCCACTTTAGTTTAGTAATGAATAAAGGTTAAGGAGACAAACATTTAATGACAGACTTTCAAGATTTTTTAATTTTTTTAAATAATACTATATAACGATCCTAGTGCTTAGAACATTGGCTCTAAACAGGTTTTGACTCATGATGCTCTACTATGAAGTATGGCCTCATCATAATTACTGATCACCATAAAGCCTAAAGGTGTCTTCGGAGAAACAGAGGGATTCTATTTGAATGAGTCTCTACATTGTTTTTTAGGAAAATTCTACTTGTGCCTTTAAGAAATTCTGATGTGGAAAAAGAAACACTCTCTTCCACCTCTTCAACTCTTGGCAATGTGTGCTTGAGCAAGGCATTTAACTCAGCAAGTGTTCCACTGATGCTATCTGCGAGCTAACAGTAGAGGCCTGTGGTTGCACTGGGCAGCTCCCAGGCGTGAATGAGTGCACCTCTTTAAAACATAAAAACTGGGCGTTGCTGGAAAAGAGCAAATGTACTTTCCTTATGTATGACAGAATGGCAGTAAAGTATTGGAGAGAGGGGAATTTAAAAGGCTCAACAGAAGATTATAATTCAACAGATTCATTGGGTGAGTAGCGGAGAAGTGAAAGGACAATTTTGAAAGGAATAAGAAGATAGAAAGGCAATATACCACATGTTGGCAAAGAGATGAAAGAGGAAGACGATACAAGGAGAATATACAAGAGAAGCTTAAAATGAGATGGAGAAGAGGGAGGTGAGAGAATAAAAGAAAACAGGGAGAGGAGTGAAGTGATATTCGGGGTAAAAGGAGGACAGAAGTGGAAAAATGAGGAGAGCAAAATATAAAGATACAGACAAGAAATGGGAGAGCAAAAACAATGCAGGAAAATATGAAGAAAGAAGGGGGAGAGAAGATAGGGTGATTAATCAAAGTTAAGAGAACACTGATTTATCTTGTGTTTTTTAACCTTACACACACAAAACCCATCAACACATGGGTGGGGACATGTGTATTCATGACTAGGTGTGGGCCTTGCCATGGTAACTCACAGTGTGGCTAGTTGAGTCATGTTGCTGAAGGTGAAGGGGGCCAAGATGCTGATGCTGTTGTTGCTCAGGTCCCTGTGCAGATACAAGGATGCAGTGAGTGCACACAGACAAATATACACAAAGACAACATACTGAACATACTGATCCATGGTGGATTTGGAAAACGTCTGCACAGAGATATGTGTGTGTTCAAGGTTAGGTGAGGGGTACTTACACCAATGACAGCTGCCTCAGGCTTGTCAGCTCCTTGGGCACAGATGCCAGCATATTACCCTCCAGGTAACTGCAGGGAAAGGTGCATAGTTAATGTGGAATGTATTACATATATTAATACACAAATACAGGCCTACGGGTGTGAGAAAATGGCAATATAGCACATAACTGGTTTGATTTTGCAACTTCTGTCACATTAAAGGGTGCAGGAGACGGAGGACGTGAAAGGCAGATGTGAGTTGGGTTTGGTTGAGTGTTGGTGGGAAGAGGAATGAGGTGTAGAACCTCACATACATTTATACGGCACATATACATTTACCAGAGAAGTGTAGTGTATTTTATGTAATATTTATGATGTTCTGGTGTGTGCTATGTGAATGTGATCAGCTACAAATTAAACAGTGTAAGAAATAAACAGAGTTAGATGAGGAGAAGATCTATACCGCTGAGCTAGAGCTGAGCAAGAGCCAGGAGGTGGATTGGCTTAGCTTAGCATAGCATAGCATAAAGACTGAAAGCAGGGGGAAACATCGAGCGTGGCACTCGCCACAGTGTCAAAACAAAAGTTTATCCCATTTATCCCACCCAGCTCACAGACAAGAGATCTTTCTAAAGTAAATGTTGCTTTTTGACATTGTCGTCACCTAAAGTTACCCTGTACACTGATGTATAGGTAAGATTCTACCAACGATTAAGACGGGACAAGATGACTAGAATACAGGTGTTTGGATGTGAACCTGCCAGACTGAGGAGGGGGAGCTTGGCACTAATACAACAGTTTAACATTTAGCTTTAATCACATATTCCAACCACTGCAGATATGCAATATCCACCTACTGATCCTGCTGTGTGTGTGAGTATGTGTGTGAGTATGTTAACAAACACACACACATTTTATGATCTGTTGGTCTCCACTCCTCTCTCTCTCAGGTCATAAGTAGGTCAGGTGGACAGTATGATGGAGTGTCTTATTCAGCCTGATCAATACCTAATCACTGCTATTGACCTCGCAGAGCAGATCTATTTCACAGCTAAAGGGGTTTCTTTATGTGTATGTGTGTGCAATTATTCACCTCCCCTACGACAGATTGTGTTCCCACTTTTTTCTAAATGTCCTAATCTCGATTAACATTATTCTACTCTTGTTTTATCCTGCATCACTTCTAACAATTACCATCATCATAGACATTTCCTATATTGGTCTCTTGTCTTTATTACATGGATTCCTACAAGCTTAAAATGAACAAGACAAAACAAGTGACACAATGTAGCAGCTGTGCTATACAGAGAAAGGCAAATACATAATTAAAAGTACTATTAACTAAAATGTTTTCATTTTCTTTTGTCAGTGTCTCTTTGACTAAAAGTTTGGAAAGACCATCACAGTTATGGCAAAGCTTTTGAATTTAAAAAGTGGACCGTGGCTTTCTTTACTTGGTATCTTTGGCATTATAACATTATAATATTGGAAACGGAATAATTTTTAAGGAAAATAACCCAATGACACTTTCAGATGTCTCCTCTAAGCTGTCTGTATTTGTTCTGGCAGTCTTTCCAGTGCCTATATAATGTATTAAACAGCATGTGATTGTGTGTCGGAGATAGATTCAAATATCTGCAGTGCTTCATAGATTTATGACATTAACATCCAAACAAACACATAAACACACAAGTACCTGCAACACTCACTTGCCTATAAACCCATCAAGTCACACCGAAAGAAACAAAGCGCGTGTGCTTGTGTGTGTTTGTGTGTGTGTTCACTAAATGGTGTGTTAGTTCCTGAAGCAGCAGAGGGCAAACTGCTGCATCAATATTGGACTGCAGCACTGTGTGTATTTATGTGTGTGGTTGGGACTTTAGTGGAGAGTAAGCAATGCCCATTTCTGTTTGAGTGCATGCGCATGTCTGCCGGCATTCTCATTGCCTTTTGTGTATTGTTTATTTGAACAAGAGTGAACGTGCGCATCCTTGCGTTTGAGTTTGTGTGTGTCTTTGTGTGAGTGCATGCGTGACTCACAGCTCCGTGGTGTCCTTGGGAATACCCTTGGGCAGAGAGCGCAGCCCTCTATTGCTGCATCGCACCACGCCGTCTGTGCACGTGCAGATGTCAGGACAACTAGACGAAGGAAGGCAACCATTATCCTCAGCACCTGGAGAGAAAGGGGGGGAGACACAGAGTGTGAGATCAGACAAAGAAAGAAGGAGAACGGAGGACAGGCAAATTAAAAGAAAGGGACAGAGGTGAGAGAAATAAAAAGAGCAACACTGGGGTGGTAAAAGGAAGGAGGAAATGAGTTTGACCGAGGGACAGGAGGTTGAGACAGGATAGGTCAAAAAAGAGGGAGAGAACGGGGAGTACAAAGGGAGAGAAACCGAGAGAGAGAGAGGGATGCATAGAGATAAAGACTGAACTGTAAGTGTGGTACTTGGTCAGTTCTAATCAACTCTGCACTCAGCACTTTTAAAGAGTACTTTACAATCCATTTCAAATGACCAGAGGCAGCCAAAATCTGCTACACCGGTGTGGTTCAACATATGGCTCAGGACCTGTCTGCAGGTCACAGTGTTGTTAAATTCCCTCAGATCATACTGGAGAAACACTGACCAGATGTTGATGAGTCGGACTGCAGTAAGTTTGAAAAGTCCCCTGCAGTCATGTAGCTATGCTACCTGCATTGATAGATAGATAGATAGATAGACAGATAGATAGATAGATAGATAGATAGATAGATAGATAGATAGATAGATGGATAGATAGATAGATAGGCACTTTATTAATCCCGCAAGGGGACATTTTTTTGCTGTGTCATACCAAGATTAGAATGCCCTTCAAAAATTGCATGAGATCATATTTATCTGAATAAAACACGTTTTATTACAAACTTTTCTTTTTAAGATTGGGGAACCATGTTAAGACTGTTGCTTTTCACCATGAATTGAACCTTTAGTGTTGAAAAAACACCTTTTTTTTTAATGGTTGTGGTAAACTGAAGAGTTGTTCTGTTAGAAAGACTGCTTTGGCTATGCAGCTTTGTTTCACAAACATGCACACATGCTGCACAAACATGTGGTAGGGACTAAAAACATCTGAGTGATTCTAATCGTTTCACACTCAGAGATAAGAAGGATCACAGACTACAGATTTGTTCTTGGCTAAAAACGCCCTCCATTTACTTGACTGACAGATAAACACACACAGCTTTAATTTAGAGCTGCAGCGTAAATACTTGAACTGCGGACACAAATGTGAAACAAGCCGAGTTAAAACCATAACAAAGGATAATGATGACTGGACACTAAGCCAATCATAACACAACTGCAATCTGAGTTTGTGTGTGTATACTATACTTGTCTGCCTGTAGAGAGAAAGAAAGAGGCCAAGTTTACACTCATCTATTGTATGTTCATACTTAGTTGTGTGGTTGTGCTGTGCCTGTTTTGTGCCAATTTGCTGCCATGGGATCCAATGATATACATGCATGCGTCTAATGTAGAAGGGTATGAGTTTGGTGCACATTTAGTTTGTTAAATAGCTATCTCCCCTGTCCCCATGGCCATTTCCTCCTTCACTTGGTTGTTTTCTAATTGTGCTAATGTCTAAATGTCAAGCAAATGGGTGCAAACATGCCCGTGTGTGCAGAAGTGTGTACAAGTGTATGTGTGTAGCTGCTGAGTCCACAGGGAGGTGAAGCCGTGGGCTGACTCGCTCCACAGTTGGCTGATTGAACTAACATCTAAATGTGCGCTAAATATCTTCACACAAATTCAATTAACTTTACCTTTCCCCCGGCTGCCTCGCTACAACTTAACAGTCGTTTTACTCGACTATAAATAGACCGGACATGGGGACCTTTGTCCTGTGTGTGTGTGTGTGTGTGTGTGTGTGTGTGTGTGTGTGTGCGCGCTTGTATTCTTTGAGAACCAGTTTGAGATTTACACCTTCAGAGTGTGGAGGCGATGTTGCTCGCCCCTGTTGGGAAGCTGTTGTTTGTCTGACTGGCAGCAGGATGTCCTCAAACCTTTGAGGACACGCGGGCATTGAGCCAAAGGACAATTAATTAGATGTTGGTGATGATCCAGATCTTTCATCTCAAGATCAATAAAAATGTAACTAACATTTTGCACAAATTATGTTTTGTAGTTTATTTCTACAATGCTGCTCCTCGGTTCTTACGGATTCATTTACGACTATGACTTTCTGAATGTTGGTCTATTATCTCCACCGGGCGTAAGCCTGTGGGGAGATCATGTGGCCGGTCGAGTGTGTGTGCATGCAGTCTGTCTGTCTGTCTGTCCAGGGCTGAACACGCACATTTATAACTGTTTGCTTAAGGTGGTTGCACAGACTCACAGTTTTTGAAAAAACTATTTTTTTTAATTTTTACCATCATTGACTCCTCATTCCTCTAAACCGGCTAGTAGGGGTCGCATGTGATCAACAACTGTTTCAGTAGCGAGAGTAATTTCTGGCAATCAGATAGGTTACAAACAAGCATCAGCACTCATTTTCGGAGCATCTGTCGATTGAGTCCACTGAAGTAAGGCACGATACGAGATGAATAAATCCCCATTTTGTTATCTTTACATTCATCTCGACTGTAAAGTAGCCGGGAGGGACAACCGAGTGAGATTCAACTCTTCTTTGTTTGGGAGGGGCGAGGAAGGCACACCTGGCAAAGATCTTCACTCTGTTGAGTGTACTTTTTGAGTATTATAATAGGGATTAGCATAGAGTTAAGATTAGACATTTAATGTAACCATTGTAAGGTCCTCACAAGGACAGAAGTACAAAGGCTTGAGTGCGGTATCAGTCATCTGAATCTGTGTCTGCAGCTGGGTGAGTTTGAAATGCAAATGTGTGTGTGTGTGTGTGTGTGTGTCTGTGTGCGCGCAAGATGCAAGAATGTATATTAAGATCTGATACCATCTCACAGTTTCCTTACTTGGGCCAAGAAGGCTAACTACTTTCCAAACTCATTTTCAGTAAATGGTTGCAGCACAGCTACAGGAAATTAGAAAAGTGTAATAAATTCTAAGGAACTCAGGAGGAAGAGAGAGGCCGAACGAGATGGGAAGATAGAAAAAGAGGAGATTGAAAAGAGTTTAAAGTGTAAAGCCATTAAGAAAGAAAAAAGGGAGGAAAAGAAACAAAAATGTAATCGACAGCAGAGCCAGACCACACTTTGTCTGTGGCGTCAAACTTAGCGCCAAAACGAAGGCCTAAGTTGCAACAGGCAGGCATCGCTGTGGTAACAGCAACGTCACTGTAGAAACCACAAGCTGATGTCATCTACGGCTGCTGTTTGCCAATAGCTACTGATCGCTCTGTCCTCACGATACCCCGCTGAGGATGTGTGTGTGTTTATCTGCCATCTTAAAACATGGGATGATGGAAGCTTTTGCAATTGGTAATTTGGAAGGATTGTTTTACGTTTGACACAAAAAGACAAGAATCAGACAGAATAAATTAATTTGAGTCCAGTGTAAAACAAAAAGACTTGACGTACCTGAGGATGTGACAAGATTTAACTGATATAACAGTGAATTCGCCCTGAGAACAATTTATCTTCCTTTGGGAAATTAGGGCACTTATTGTAAGTCACTCTGGGTAATAGTTGTGATGATATAAATAGTATTCTCTGTTGAACTTTCACCATATGATGCTGCACTGCAGCAGGCATGTCCAGGAATTTCTTGCTTTCATGAGAGTCTTGCTTTCCTTCCTTAACATTACCAACCTTTATATCTCACAAAATAATTGAAAAAAATACTTTATTAAAAGACTTGTGCATTATCATCAAGCACAAAACAACCTTCCTGGATCAAATTTACTTCAAAATGTCTTTTTGGGAAAATGGAGAATGCCTTCAGTAATTATATCACTTGACTCTATCACTAGTGTTGTACACTACAGGATTTTGATTGTTAATCTTCTTTCAGCAATATTTCACGTGTAAGCATTGTTATTTCCAATCATGTGGACGGAGCCAAAAAGAGAAGCAGAGTGCGAGATTGGCTCACCGTCGCATGTGAAGTCTGGTGTGGCCACGTCCTGGATGGGGATCTCCTTCAGGAAGGCTGGCTTCTGACAGCGAGGGTTTCCACTGACCACCCTGGTCTTCTTCAGCCACTGACCCAGCCAGGTCAAATGACAATCACACACATACGGGTTGGACAGGAGGTTACTATGACATGAGACAGAGAGAGAGAGAGAGAGAGAGAGAGAGAGAGAGAGAGAGAGAGAGA